GTGCCTTGAACTTCTCCTCGCCCTTGATGACCCGAAAGCAATGGGAGAGGTTGAAGCACTTGCCATTGTGTTGAACCTTGAATGCCTCCAAAGCTTGAAATGCCTACAAAATGTTTCCATGCAAGCATATGGGCAAATGATATGCAAATGAACACGCAAGCATGAACTTGATGACACAAAAGAGGGCAGCTTGCTAGCATACCATGTCTTGCATGCCGATGCCACTCACAGGGTAGGCCTTGACACTCTCAAGAGTGGCGCAAAACTTGTTGCACTCTTATTGGATCACCCTCCATCGCTTGAAAATGGACACCCACCCGCACGTGCTCACAAATTGGTAAGGCGGAAACTTCTTGCGCTCATGAAACTCTCGATGGACACGAATCCAAAAGGTTGAATGCTTTTGTTCGGCGCCCATCTTGGGGTCTTGTCCAATGTCTCGCCAACACTCACAAAGAAGGTTGTCCTCGGCATCCATGTATGCCTTCGTGTGCTTGCTCTTGCGCTTCGGCTTAGGACCGACGGCTTGGTTGGCGAGCTCATTCTCGAACAAAGGCTTCACTTCGATGTCGCACTCGTCCTCTTACTCTAGCCCGTAGTCGTCCGCGAACTCATGGTCGAGTGGGAAGCCGTCCAGGTCGATGCCGACCTTATCACGCATGAAGGTCACCTGATCGGGATCATAGCCAGCGGCCGTGCTGGCTTTGTGTCTCGTCGGGATCGTAGCCAGCGGCCGGCGCACCGCCCTCGAAGATGAGGTTCTGCATGTAGTCCTCGTCGACGGCGGACAACATTCCCTCGAATAGGTTGCGGGCGTCTGGGAGCACGCTGGCCGGCGTCTGTCGCGTGCGTTTCCTCACGCCGTCGGATGACGAGCCACCGGCCACCAGGGTGGCGCTGAGGTCGATGGGCGCGGGCGAGGGCGTGGAAGGCGCAACAACGCTCACACCGGGCGAGCACTCCCCGGAGAGGCGGGAGACCTACGGGTACACGTGGAAGCCGGGCATCGGGTTGCAAGCCGACGCGCGGGGCGAGTCGGGCAGCACCATCCGAGGAAACGCCGATGAGCCGGTGCTGGCCGCGCGATGGCGGCGTTGACGAGGCCGTGCTGGCCAGGGTTTAACCCTAGCATGTAGAGCACCTTCCTCGTTGCCGCCGTGACGCGGGTGTTGGTAACCTCCTGCTGCGCGGCGGCGGCGACGGCAGCCTATGCGGCGGCCTCATCCCTTGTGTCCGCGGTGTGCCTCCGGTCCTTCCTCTTGGCCGACTCCCTTGCCCGATGTGTGGGCGTCAGCGTCTTCTTTGGCTTGGCCGCAGCAGTGGTCTTGCATGGGACACGAGGCTTGCCTTTCCCGGAGGGGGCGGTGGCGCCGGACGAGGCGAGGGAGGCGAGGCCGCCGGCGGCGTCGAGGTCGATGGCATCGTCCATGGCGGGTGTGGGACGGGAGCGCGCGGGCGGGAGGATTTTTGGGGAAAATGGTGGTGGCTGCCACCGACCGGCGGGCCCGAGAGAGGAGTAGGCGCGCGCGCGTCCATCTCATATCTGCGCCGACGCAAATCTGGCTCAAAATTGGGCCGAAAATGGGTCACCATGCGGACGCCAAGCGGACGCGGGTCCATTTGGGTCGGCGCATTGGGCCGCCTTTTTTATCCGCGCCGACCCAAATGGACGCCAGCAGAAGAAATGGGTCGCCCCATTGGAGTTGCTCTCATCCACATACCAAAAGGCTATCCTATGATGGAAATGCAACGGGCGTGGCGGCATTGACCAGTGGCCTGACTTCATCATCTTGAAATTATGCTTTGCCGACAAATGGAATTGCTTGGACTTAGGTCAAGGCGAAATCCCTGCTCGGCTTGCCGATGCTGACAGCGGCGACGACACTCGCGAGTGTCATGTCCTTTCTTGGAGGCGTTGCCATAGCCTTTATCCGTGCCCTTATTCGAGCAACAAGGGAAACATCGGGTCTGGTTCTTCGGATAGGATGGCGGCAACGCTGTTCCCCTTCTTCAAGGCGCCATCATGTTTGCTCTAAGCGTCCCCAATGTTTAGCTTTTTAGATGTTAGATGTCGTACTAGTTCGACTTGCCTTCCTAGTTCTTGGCTTTTTTTTAAATGGAACACGCTTGCATTCCTCTTACGTATCATTGCTGGACAGGTCGCCAGCCATGGAGTTTAGTACAAACTCTGGGAGATGCCTCAGCCAAGTGACACACGCACCAGAATTTAACCTAGCACCGAAAGCCGCTAAACCACGTGCCACCAAATTACATGCTCGAGGGCAATTTACAACACACGCATCAGAGAACTCTACATGTAGCTGATACTTAATCTTTCTAAAAATGGACCCTAGTGCAGACAAATCATATTCTTCAGTAGATACAGCCTTCCTTAGCTGAACTGAATCTGTCTCTAACATTACTCTTTTTTTTGAACATCAGTACAGACACAAGCGCTCATATACACGCGCATACACTCACCCCTATGAACGCACACACGCACACCCTACCCCTATGAGCACCTCTGAAAGACTGAGCCGGCATATCATCTTGAAATTTACGAAGTCACCGTACGCACCTCGTCGTCGACGGAAACGTCTCCTTCCACTGAATGCGCATCGCCGAAAATCCTGAAATAAATCCAGGAATAAATGCGAGCACCAGGATTTGAACCCTAGTGGACTGGAGATACCACAGTCCCTCTAACCATCCAACCACATGTTGGTTCGCTCTCTAACATTACTCTGTCACAACTCATTTGGCTAGCAATACTTATTGCATATAACATAGCCGTTGCTTCAGATTGGAAAGCATCAACCACCCATTCTTGTTTGCCTGCACCTGCAGCTAGAGCTTCACCCTTATGATTTCTAATAACAAAGCCCCATCCTCCTGAAGGAAATATGCCCTAGAGGCAATAATAAAGTTATTATTTATTTCCTTATATCATGATAAATGTTTATTATTCATGCTAGAATTGTATTAACCAGAAACATAATACTTGTGTGAATACATAGACAAATAAAGTGTCACTAGTATGCCTCTACTTGACTAGCTCGTTAATCAAAGATGGTTATGTTTCCTAACCATAGACATGAGTTGTCATTTGATTAATGGGATCACATCATTAGGAGAATGATGTGATTGACATGACCCATTCCATTAGCTTAGCACCCAATCGTTTAGTATGTTGCTATTGCTTTCTTCATGACTTATACATGTTCCTATGACTATGAGATTATGCAACTCCCGTTTACCGGAGGAACACTTTGTGTGCTACCAAACGTCACAACGTAATTGGGTGATTATAAAGGTGCTCTACAGGTGTCTCCAAAGGTACATGTTGGGTTGGCGTATTTCGAGATTAGGATTTGTCACTCCGATTGTCGGAGAGGTATCTCTGGGCCCTCTCGGTAATGCACATCACTTAAGCCTTGCAAGCAATGCAACTAATAAGTTAGTTGCAAGATTATGTATTACAGAACGAGTAAAGAGACTTGCCGGTAACGAGATTGAACTAGGTATTGAGATACCGACGATCGAATCTCGGGCAAGTAACATACCGATGACAAAGGGAACAAACGTATGTTGTTATGCGGTCTGACCGATAAAGATCTTCGTAGAATATGTAGGAGCCAATATGAGCATCCAGGTTCCGCTATTGGTTATTGACCGGAGACGTGTCTCGGTCATGTCTACATTGTTCTCGA